GCGTGTAGAAGCTAGTAAGCCTATTTGATTTGTTTTAGATAGGCACAACATGTTTCATATGCAGACCGTATTTTCCTGTTCCATGTTCAAATAAACCATTTTCAGTGGAACCGCTGAGAAAGAGACATTTTTTGGTCATGGAAAATTAGTTAAAGGTCATGGAGAAGTCATTGAAAATCATTGGTGAAAAAGTGTATGAACCCTGATTACAGTATAAATATATAACATATCAACCAGGTGCAACATTATGGAACAGCTTGTGTCTCTTAGTGAAGTGAGCATGTTCCCTCGCTGTGTGTAAGGACATCCTCCTGCTGTCTGAACACCTGCAGCTCAGGTAACTCAGACACTTTAACCTATCCCTCAGGTGTGAAGGTGCTGAGGTATTCTCAAACTCACAACCATTAACCTTATAAGTAGAAATATCCACCAGATGGTGATGCTATTTTTGAAAAGTTGGAAGGCTTTTGACTCCATATATTTTGTCTCAAACTTTTCTTGAATGTTGTAAGAAAAGTGCAATTACTAACATGTAATAGTTGTAGTAGTTATTATTTCATAGAGTCATTCAATCACAGAAGACATTAAATCTAATCTTTTAACACAAAATATTGGAAGATGGAATATGATAGAAATACAAAGTAGTAAAAGTAATAAAAAAGTAAACTGTAGAAACCAATTTGCAAATCAATTAAACAAAGACATTAATTTATTCATTATTGGAGAATGATAAAAAATAACTATTACTTGGAAAATATCATCACTATTTCATACCTAGACATTTATTATTAATTACATTACAAATGCTTTACTAATGAACTGAGCATAATACAAAAAAAAATCAACTTACTTCTTAACCTCCATTCGCTTTCACCCACGAACGATTGTATGATTTTATGGAAATGGAAATGGACTTTTGAATGGTGCTTGCTGGGTAATAGTTTCAACCGGTTTAGTATCAGCGCTCTCATGCTGTTAATACAAGTCCTTCATCAACGTTTTCATCGATACATCAAGAAGTATTCATTATTTTCTCCTCTAAATACCCCCTATGTTCTCTCTTAGAGTTCTAGATACATACAAAACAAACTCAACATTAAATATATATAACACTTACTTACAAAATGCTCAAAGTAGTCACAGTTATAATTAGTTAAAACCCCACCAAGGCTTAATTAATTAAAACAATGTCGTGTGAATTTTGTTTCATTTGTAAACCATTGAATGTGCCATTCCTTATTTGAAATGTAGTAGTAAGGATGAGCAATATGAAGACAATCATATATACATCTTTTTGACCGAATATCTGAATATCAATATTGTGACTGTATGGTTGACAATTTATGCTTTCACAAAATAGTTTAATTTAATTTTAAACGATTCATAAAGTATTTTGATTGAATGATATTGTATACTTTATGTACAGTACTGTATTGAAATGTATACATTATTTCCTTTCTCCAAATGTCCTCTCTTATAGTACAAATACATAATACCCATTACCTTTAGCCCGCATGGTTTTTTCAAGCTCTGCACTTTCCCTCCTCACCTCATACCTCAAAGACCGTACCTACAGGGTGACTTGGAGAGGGTCCTAGTCCGACCATTGTCAATTAACTACAGGGGTCCCTCAGGGCTCTGTTCTTGGTCCCCTCCTCTTCTTCTTGTACACAAACTCGCTCGGATCTGTCATTAGCCTGCATGGTTTTTCATACCACTGCTACGCTGACGACACCCAATTAATTATGTCCTTTCCCCGCTCAGAGACCCAGGTCGTCGCACGCATCTCTGCTTGTCTAGCTGACATCTCTCAGTGGATCATCAGTGGATGTCTGCTCACCACCTCAAGCTCAACCTTGACAAGACTGAACTGCTTTTCCTTCCGGGAAAAGATTGTCCCACTCTTGACCTAGCAATCAACATCGGCACCTCTGTTGTTTCCCCGACTCAGACTGCAAGGAATCTGGGTGTGACCCTAGATAACAACCTGTCCTTCACTGCAAACATCGCTGCTACAACCCGCTGCTGCCGATACACGCTTTACAACATCAGGAGGATACGTCCCCACCTGACCCAGAAAGCGACGCAGGTTCTGGTCCAGGCTCTCGTCATCTCACGCCTAGACTACTGCAACTCCCTCCTGGCTGGTCTACCTGCATGTGCCATCCGACCTCTGCAGCTCATCCAGAATGCAGCGGCTCGTCTGGTCTTCAACCTTCCAAAATGTTCCCACCCTTCAGTAACTGCTAGAATCCACTTTAAGACACTGGTACCTGCTTACCATGCTGTGAATGCACTGCGAGGGGGACCCAAGTTCCCATCAGCAAAAACACGTCGGTTTGCTATCCTGGCTCCCAAATGGTGGAATGAGCTCCCCATTGAAATCAGGACAGCAGAAAGCTTGCACATCTTCCGGCGCAGACTGAAAACTAATCTCTTTCGACTCCACTTCGAGCGATATAATTACTAACAAAGAACTGTTAACAAAGCACTTATATACTAACAAAGGACTGGCTTATCTAAAGCCAGTTGAGTAGCACTTGAAATGTTTTAGCTCTACGAAACCTGATGTACTTATATGATTCTGTTTTCTTCAAGTTTGTATCTTGTTGGTCGAATGCACGTATTGTAAGTCGCTTTGGATAAAAGCGTCAGCTAAATGCAATGTAATGTAATGTAATGTAATGTAATAATAAACAAACCATCAGATATTGGCTAAAAACTAGTCACAGAGTCAATTCAAACTAATTTAGCTGAGTTTGAATTGAATAATCCATCATTGGGTTTCCCCAAATGGATCCATAGTGTTGTTAGAAGGCTGCTTTGGATAATGGGATGTCTTTACGTGGCCTAATTGTGGCTTTGAAGCTGCCCTCTGGATAACCCGCTTGTTATCAAATGCGGTTCCTGTCTTACTGGGAACCCCTCCACGGATGCCAAGACTGACTGAGTCCCATTCTGCAGCGTCGGATTAATGTTCGGTTCAAGTTCAAAGGCAGAGCCACCCTGGATAAACTCATAAAAAACTGCAGCCAAAACACGGCAGGGCCAGACTGTTGCACACGACATGTAGAGGCTTTAAATACCACCTCCATTCTGGGCAGTCCTGTAAATAACATGCAGTGGAGCGGGCGGTCAGAAGAAGCCGGGGAGACGTTGTTATCTCGCTGTAGAGGGGATATCTATGGGGTGTTGTAGTCGTCATCCTCCAGATACTTCACTTTTATTGATTTGATGGCATCTTTGGCTGGTAGTGAATGTGAGCACACTGCAGTTTTTCCAGATATCACTACACAATGTGACGGTCCTGCTTTCATGCACATTTCCTTTTGACTCTCTGTTGTTTGTAGCAGTTCTTATTTGGGTGGCAGCTGCCCAGTTCTTACTGAACGTCGATACATTGGTGCAGTGATGACGTATTTTTGTAGGCCGATCGGGAAGTTAGCATCTCAAAGGCTCCATCAACAAAATATTCTGCAAATTAAGCTCTGTGGCATATGATACTTACATGTTTTATTCAGCATAAATCACATATTGGCACCAACTTTTAAGATTAATTTATCCATAAATGCAATCACCAGAAGGAAAAAGCAAATGTAATGCTATCAAGGAACTACATTACTGTTGCACGAATTCCCTTCACCACCGCTAAGCTAAATGCAGCTAATGTTCGGCAGGATGACGTTTAGTAGTTTCATTTTCCCATTCCTTCATTTTTGTTTTATGAAACAAAGAAGATCCAGACATTCACACGTGGGGCATTTACTTATGTATTTCCTTGATGTAATGTATTCAACTTGTGTTAACCACAGACCTTATTTCAGGCCATTAACCGAAAAAAACAAACAACAAAACAATGACTTCGAGACAAGCGAACAGATAGTGCTGAGAAGCTAACTCATTTCCAGGTTTAAGGACTCATTCCTGTCCCGCTCTGTTCCAAACACATTTTCTTTTTGCTGCAATGGAAGATAAATCACTTCCTGTATGGCAAGTGTTTACAGATGGTCAGAATAGAAACATGTCAAAGCGGAGTGAAATCAATAATAGCTGTAAGGATTATATTACAAATTGATTTGTTGATAAACACAATAATTAACGGCAACTATTCTCATAATAATCGATAAAGTGATTTTCAGGCAGAAATGGCTTATTGAAAATAACATTTTATTTTGCCAAATTTTGTTCAAAATCTTGAGAAGCATTTCCAAATAAACTGGTTACTTGGGAATGCCTCTATTCATTGTGTCATGTTTAACTGATTTAGTTTCAGTCTTGTCACTGTTATAGGTCACACAACGAAATGTTTTTATACACACATCTGGTGTGGTTTGGCATTTTACTGAAGCAAAATACTTTATGCAAACAAAACCCAAAAAGCATACTTCCATTTTCTGGGTCTGATTTGTCATGTAGACTGCTAAACCAATTACTCATGAGTAATGATACTTTTATGTTGCTCTTTGGTTGACGTTTCTCTGCAGGGACGTATGTGGTTTGACATGATGATGCATGTAGAGTAGACAAACATCTGGATGCAATGCAGACCACTTCCTGAGGAGGTCTGAGTAATCACATCAGTCCATCAGAGCATCATAAGTGTGCTTACATCTGGATTCATACGCCATTACGTGTGATAGGACAGCTATCCAATCATCAGTGTCATATTTATGCAAGGTGTAAACTGGCTGATAATCACTGAGTAACTACTTTGTGTGTGTGTGCAACTGAACTGCCTGTGTGTCCACAAAGCTGTCATGAATTTGAATGTCGGAGCGTTTGTGTGTGTGCTTCTCGATTCATATCAGTTTGAGTCTTTGTGCATGACTGATTGCTTTGTCTGCCTGACCACAATTGAAAAGGGATCCATCTCTCTCCTCTTTACTCCCTCCCTCCCCTTCCTCTGTGTGTCTCTATCTACTCAGTTCCACCTTAAGAGGAGCTTTAGCAGCCTGTCGTGTTTGTGTTGAAGCCAACAGGCACAATATATTACAGTCTAGGGCTTGCTGCTGAAAAGCCCGCTGGATCCTCCACTGACCTGCTGTTCTTTCCTGCGCTCCTCACGTTTTTTTTCCACATTTAGATTAAAAACAAAGCCCTCCCTCTCTATCTCTCTTTTCTCCTCTCCCTCCTCTCTTCTTCTTTTCCTCTTTTCTGCGGCAGACTCAGTGTGTCAGAGAGAGAGGCTGAAGAGGAGGGAAAAAGCAGAGACTATTTGCACGGAGCTGAGTGTGTGTTTATGTTTGTATGTCTCTCCATTGGTCGGCTGGGTGAAGGGGCACCAGGAGGAGAGGAAGAGGAGGAGGAGGAAGAAGAGGGAAGCCTGCCTGGATGAAATTCTCGGTGTCACTACGTGTGGACCTTGACTGATCCCAGGGTGAGGAAAAGGGAGAGAGACACTGAGGGGAGGTGGGGTGATTGAGACTTTCACTGTGAGAAGAAGAAGAAGGAGGAGGTAAAGTCTGGTGCTTCGTTTTATCATGACATTAGTGGGAGAACGAAGCGACGGATTGAGCGCTCTTCAGTTGTGTGTCAATAGGAATTCGTCCTAGAAAAGAAGAGGAGAAAAAACACAAGACTCTGGAAGTAGACTGCTGCCTTCAACCCAGCTAAGGAGCAGGACTTACAGAGAGAGTGTGTGTGTGTAACCGGTGGAGGGCAGAGGAGTGGAGGGCCAGGGGACGAACCTGGCCATCAAACGGACTGGCAGCCTCCCCTCTCCTGGGATCATGTACCCTCAGGGCAGGCATCCGGTAAGTACCTCCTTATGTCTCTTTCTCCATGTCAGTCTCACTCTTTTTCTGTCCGTCTGTCTGTCTCTCTCAACTCCAACCTTGTCAGTTGTGTTTCCCCCTGCCCTCTTCATTCTCTCTCTGCCCTCTCCATGCCTCCCTGCCTCTCTTATCTTGAGTTTTTCCTTCGTCTTACTTCCTCTTGTTTTTGCATTTTTTGTGCGTCTTTTTTTCCGCTTGTCCCTCTCTCTTGTTTAAATAAGGACTGTACTGTAACATGAGTAGTGAGATGTGAGGGGAGGGGGGTTGTTAGGGCTTAGAGATTCCCTGTTATACACACACACACACACACACACACACACACACACACACACACACACACACACACACACACACACACACACACACACACACACACACACACACACACACACACACACACACACACACACACACACACACACACACCCTCTCTGTCAGCTGCACCCAGGTGCCTTTGAGATCTTGTTGATGGTTAGCCGTGTAGGTGGCACTTAACTGAATCTGCACTTCTCAGCGTGTGTGTGTGTGTGTGGGTGGTGTGTTTGTGTTCCTCTATTAGTGTTTTAGTTGGCTCTAGTGGTTGTTACGTACGTGACCCTGTTTGTGTGTAACATTTAATAGATCTGTATATGTGTGAAAAATTGGTCAGTACAACTGTCAGCTATCCATTTGCTCATTTTGGTTGCTAAGGATACACTTGTGCACACACACACACACACACACACACACACACACACACACTCACACACACACACACACACACACACACACACACACACACACACACACACACACACACACACACACACACACACACACACACACACACACACACACACACACACACACACACACACACACACAAACACAGGCTGATTAATTGATTAATTAAATGAATTTACATTTCCTCTAAAAAATTGACGTTGAAGCACTTCCTCTTTATTTCCTCTTCAAAGTCCCTTTTCCTCCTTCAGTTTCCTCCTCAATCAGCGGTGAGAATTGGCCGTTTTACCTGCCAGGCTAAAATAAAGGTTAAAACAGACTAATAAAAAGCACAGAAGGATGAATGACAGCTTAGGCTCAGTCTGGCTTAGGCCATTCGTTTCACAGAGGCCCCGATCCGGTTGCTATAATCAGATTTGGTTATCAGTGTCTTTGTATCTGCTACAAATGGGTCACTGGCCACTTTGCCTCTCAGCCAGCCAGCCAGCCCCTCACTCAGTCAGCCAGCAAGCCAGCCAGCCCCTCACTCAGTCAGCCAGCAAGCCAGCCAGCCCCTCACTCAGTCAGCCAGCCAGCCAGCCAGCTAGCTATCACACAGAATTATGAATGACATTTTCACAAGAGGAAGTCATGAGGAATCAATTATATGTACAGAGAGAATGCTAATAAGTCAGCCGCTGGAAGAGGAGAGAGAAATTGAAGCTAAGGAGAAGTGAAAAAACAAAGGGGTGAAAGTGTAAGATGTAAGAGCCAAAAAAGAGAAAGAATTCTGTAAAAAGGCAAGGCCGGGGGTTGGAAGAGAAATGGAAATGAATGAGAGATGCAAAGGAAGAAAAGAGCGTTAAGAATCCTCTGTTCTCTCCTTTAGAGGCATATCAGAGCGCTTCCTGCTGCGATGCTCTGTGTTCGTGATAAAGTTCAATCGCGGATACAGCCAACTCCAACCGATCGATAGCCTCCATCTCCTCCTCCGTTTCCCTCCCTCCTTCCTCTGCAGCTCTCCTCTGCCAGGGGAACTTTATTTCTGGTGTTGCCTTGAAATGTGATCTGCAGAGAGGTGTGAGGGTGAAAAGAACAGTGTGTGTGTGTGTGTGTGTGTGTGTGTGTGTGTGTGTGTGTGTGTGTGTGTGTGTGTGTGTGTGTGTGTGTGTTTACAAACTGTGTATGAGCATTTACATACATGTGTGTGTTTGTCCTCATAAATGCAGAGCAGAGTAACTTGTAAAATATTCAGAGCATTTTTTTCTGCTGGCATATAACTCTCCTTGCTGGTGCATTCAAGGAAAATCCAATATTTCAAAAATCACAATTGGCTGATGGAAAGCATTGCATGATGATGCCAGTAAATGAAATCATATGCCACTATAACAGGGGGGGGTCTTAAAAAGTATTAAAAGTTGATAAATAAATTTAGCGAAAATTAAGGCTATAAAAAAGTATTAAACGGCAAGGTGTTACATTTTGTAGCTTGTTTTCAATAAGTATATGAATTGTCCAAAGAGGTTGTATTCTACAGTCTGCCTGAATGTAATCATGGCGTAGGTGTGTAGTGTGATTCTGTGTAGTTTATTTATGGCATCCCGTTGGATTTGAAGTCATCTGAACAGGACATCGCACGCTCACTGCTTGATAGCGCGCGAAGCTCCGTTTACGCCGGTTGTTAAACAGCATCGTTATGGGGAAATGCAAGTTTGCGTCCAAATGGTTGGAAGATAAGGAGGAAGGACAATCAATACTGTATATAGTCAATGTGAGGTGAAGTGTGTCGCCAAGGTAACCGGTTAGAACTCTAAGTGGCGATGAGGTCTTATAATGTATGGAAAGGGTCTTAAACAAGGTCTTAAAAGGTCTTACATCTGACTTCAGGATTTAAAAAGGCTAAATGAGCTGGTGCTGTTAAGATTGTTAACCTCAATCTTTCATTCATTAAATCTATGATGTACAATGTGCTATCAAATAGAAGCGCGAGAGTAACAAAGTGATGTCATTATTTTACAGAAGTAAACAAAGGAGTCCAATGGAGACCTTTTTCATGCACAAAACCTATATAACGCACTACAGGAAAGGGAAGCCCCAAAATACATAACATGGCCTCTTCAAAGTTACAATAACCCATGTGAGTTCTGTAAAAATGCATGTGGTTTGTAGTTAATCTCTTTCAAAGATCTGATGGTACTGTGCAAAGGCACGACTACACATCTGTCGTCTAACTTCCCAGTGAACAGGCTGGACTACGCAGCCTTGATGTGTCCTTGTTGGAGTCAGTCAAAGATCAATTCCTGTCAGAAATAGAAGGACAGAGCTGCCTTCATGTGCCTCTGGAAATGATGAGGAAGGTGTCTCAAGGCGGCTCAGGCTGCGATATTTTATCAGAGAAGAAGTCAGACTTTGTTCTCCTCGCTCTCTGGCAGGAAAAGGTTAACGCTGATGGCTGATTTGCCAGCCGAGCGGAGCTGTAATTGGTTCCACTGGATTTTTGTGGCAAATATTATCAGAGCTGTGAGAATGTGTAATGTGTGTGATTCCTTTTTATTTGTCCTTGTCTCTTTAGTGCTGTGTGTATGGTTTGTGTGTTAACAATGTTTGCTGTTGGCTTAGATGTTTGTAAATGTGTGTGTACATCTCCTGTGTAAGGCTTTGTTTTATGTGTCTGCTTGTGCCCTTAAGTGCAAACTGTCTTTGTGTGTTAGTATATGTATGTCTTGGTGTGTGTGTAAGTGTTTGTATTTGTCCTTGTGTTCCCGTTAAAGGGCTTGTGTGTGTGTGTGAGCAGCTGTTAAAGTGTGTGTGTGTGTGTTTAGACCTGGGGGGGAAGGGGAAAGGAGAGCAGGGTTTGTGTGCACCGTGTGCCAACAACAATAACAATAAATAATGTCCCAGTCCGACCTCGACGCTGCTGTGAATGTACGAGCCCCTGATTGGCTGCCACTCCCCGGCGAGGAAGAGAAAGAAAGATTTACTGCGTGTTGTCATGGTAAACAAAGATCTCTATAACTGCTACATCATTTCACACATATTAATTTAAGGGCTAACTTCGTTACACACAAACACACCTCCTATCAAACATGGAGGTTTCTTTCTGCTTCGCTCCTGGCATGGCTACAGGTCAAAGTTAAGCAGAATTAAAGTGTAAGGTGTAGCGAAGCCCAAATGTCCTCAATCTATACACGATACATCTATTGATCATCTGTCTGTCCTGGGAGGGGGGTCCCACCTCTGATTCTTTGATTTTTATCCTTGTTATTATGGGAATATTAACACGTTTTTGTATGTGTGTTTACTTATGGTTCCCAAATATATATTGTTTAACGATCGGCAATAACGTTGTATTGATATTTGTAACTATAGTTTAGTCAGTAGGCCCTGTTCTGCTGTCTGCATGTGTTTCTCCCACAGTTGCGTCATTGTTTTTTAATGCGCCATCGGCCTTGAGAAAGTGCGACTGTATATGCCCTTTATCCTTGTTTCAAAATATGCTGTTTTGGGTCCTCGAATTTGAGGGAATTAGGCTTGGAAAATCCTTGAAGAATCCTTGAATTGACTGTTTAAGAAGGTCTGGAAAACTCTGATCATACAATCTTTTCTTAGCCCTAGAAGTTGGGATGGCGGCAGTCTCAAAGATCAAAGTTAGACGTTCTCAAAGCCAGCGATAAAGACAGATTTGAAAAGAGATTACACTGTGGATAAACAATCAAATCTGCTCTGATCATTTTAGTACATCATGCATGAGCATCATTCAATCTTCGTTGGAAATATATGGTGACAATCAAGCATCTGTTTAATTATTAGCAGGAGTGTGTGCGACCACGTGAAAAAAGAGAAGAGGAAATGAGAAGTGTGCCAAGTGTGCAGTACAATCTAAGTAGCTATTGGAAAATTGTGTGTGTGTGTGTGTGTGTGTGTGTGTGTGTGTGTGTGTGACTGTGCAGGAGGAGGGCGTCCTTCTCCTTTGGCCACCAGTAGGGTAACACTTTATTTTTACTGCCAAGTAAACAAACTATTGCCAAGTATGTGGCCACAGACGTCACATATGCTCCGTTAATGAGAGCAGAGTGTTTGGGTGCGTCTTAAAGTTGGATTTTGAAGTGTGTGTGTGTGTGTATGAGATTTAATTTGTACATTCTGTAGTTGCAATGGCGGAGCTTTACAACTTATGTGTGCTGAATTGTGCAAGTGCTTGCAAATGTGGGTAAAGAGTTTTGACATGCAACTGTGCTCCGTTTGCTTTTTCACGCAGACTGACTGGACCTTTTTCG